ATTGGATGGTCTTCATACAGTAAACGAAATTAGCATAAGTCATGGACTGCTTGTTTTCTCAACTACCTGAAGGGTTGTTTTAATAGTGTGAAAAGACCAAGATATTAATATCACACATGAGCATTTTCTATTGGTGTTTATGTAACAAAAAAAATGTGTGTGATCACTTGTTTCAGGACATCATCTCAATAATTCACCAGCTTCTTGAGCCCAGAGCCCGGAGCTAGCACCTTGTTACTTCCGCTCTTTCTATGCTACAACCCATGCATGTCTGTTTTTACACGCACGTCTACTTCCAAGTGCGCATTCAGTTGTGTGTAGGAGTCTCATGCAAATGTGCACAGATGCATGCGAATAAGTGTGCAGCTACACGCGCACATAGCTACGACTCCAACAGTGTGCATGGCAGTATTGTGTTACATAACCCTTAATTATAGCTGGAGAGGAAATGTGACAGCTTGTGACCTAATCCTTAATACAGGAATTACATTTTCACAATTCAAAAGAAAATGTGTGTGTTTTTGTGTGTGTTTGTCAGGGTGTATCATTTTAAATCCACCAATTAGAGAAAAATCTGACAGTGTTGCAAACACATGTGTCAATTTGAAATTGCGATTTACTTGATGATGACGGAATAAAAATACGTTTCTACTGTGTGCGTGTGTGTTTATGTGCATAATGACAAAAGTGGCACATGAGATTCTTGTGAGTGTGAGTGTGTCACCCTTTATTTTGCGCTGAATGACAGATCTATTACTGCTGAAAAGTGTGCTATTATCAACATTAAGAGGCCCTGCAGAGGCAGGGACACGCTATCATGCGTGTGTGATTAAAGCCCACCAGCAGGCTTCATATGCGAGAGTGTATTTGTGGAAAATGTCTGTGTATTAAGGAATATAAAAGCTGCCAGTTGGCTTTTAAGTCACTTGCTAATATGGATTTTGAAAGCTCCTCAGCTCTGTGTGAGTGGCCTTTACACCCACCTTTATACCAGCGAACCCAATGACTCAGATGCAAACACACACACACACACACAGCTGTGGGTCGATAGGTCTGCATGCTAAAATATTACATTATATGGATTTCCTTGATGTCTCAAAAATTAAACAGAGTTCTCCAAATGGGACTTGGAAGAAGGATTTATGTCCTAACATGATGTGCAAAACGAGCACACACACGCTTTTTCCCCCTATATGCACAATCCATTATGGATCTTTAAAAAAATGGCCATGTCATGCCACCTTTGCTGACTTTCTGTTGCTACCACTAAAGCAAAAAACGTAATGCCACCAGTGTGTGCGCTTTCAGATAGCATGCCAGCATTCTGGTATAAGAGGCCTGACAATAGCTTCTCTGACTGGGCCTCTTATGCCCTGTCTCTTTCACACAGAGACAACAATAATAGCTCCTGTTCTGTCACTACATCTTGTTAACAGAACAAAGTTAGAATAATGGTGGAAGAAGTCCACAGTTGGCTGATAAAAGTGGCCTCTCTTACCTTGATTGTACTGCTTTGTTGGATTTATATCTGCCACCTTCCCCTCTATGTTAATGGAATTTAGTATCTCTTTATTAATCACCTGATTCTCCTTCACTTTTGATTTCCCTTTTCCCCTATAATCTTCTTCATTTCACCATGTTCATCAGGAGCCACCTTTTTTGTTTTGGTGTAAAGCAAGCAGATCAGAAAATCAAGAGAAAAAAAGTATCAATCTAAAATGTGGCAAGTGTTGTGAGAACTGGAGGCAAAAAGGGGTGAGACAGAGGGGGAAAAGACATGTGATGCGTACTGCTGTGATTTCCCAGCACTGGGTTATTGGACAGAGCACTTGTATCCTTTTTGGAGAGCGGGAAAATAAGCTGATTAACGCACAGCAACCGAGGGGCACAGTGGACAGTGCCCCATTTTCTGTAAGCATAGCAACTAACGCATTTTAAGAAGCAGGCGAATGACACACATGACAATAGAAAACTCGCATGCGTAGGTAAATCACACGTTGGTTTGATCACGCTCGCTCTACCTAGCCGAAACACAAATGGACTGCCTGTTGCTCCTTAAGCACAGCCCGAAGAAACTGTATATCTCTACTCGCACTAAGCCGCCTTTCTGCTGTATCTTACCCCGGCCGCATCATCTCGGTGGTGCAATGATTTGAAGTGAAGTGAATGAAGAGCCTGCGTATGTCATCTACACCGATTAGATGTAAGACTCGCCCCCAGCTAATTGCTGGCACTGTCAATCAGAAGTAGAGCAAAGTGATCATGAAGTAAACTCTACCAGTCAGGAAAAAAAAGTTAAAAGCCGGTATGTCACAATTATTTGTTAATATAGCTTCAGTTGTTCAGAGCCCCGGCTATAATTAAGTAGAAAATGAATGAATCAGATTTTCTTTGCGTGATTTTGTTGAGAACAAAGAAAGAAACAATAAAACTCAAACAAATTCATATCAAAAGGACAAATGGACTGTCTAGCTCATAAATACAGACTTTAATGCTGTGAAAAGCTTTAGAATCACTGTTCTTTGAGGTAACATGGGATGGCAACGGGTTGTCAAGGCCAACCACACCTTTTACTGTGTGTTGTCATGAAAAATGTGACATAAAAGTTATGTGTATTCATTTTAAAAAACTTGTTCTGTGCACTCCCAACAGCTACCTATTACAGCATGTGGCCATTCAAAGAGATTTAAAAGTACTCACAAGTAACATACTTTACATGTCATGTAGACTTTTAGAATTTAGTAAATCTTCATCAAAAAGGTCAGTGATTATAGCTTTTTTAAAATATAGCTTATTTTGAAGACGCTGTTTAGAAGTAGCCCTGCGACAGACTGGCGGACTGTCCAGGGTGTACCCCGCCTCTCGCCCATTGACCACTGGGATAGGCTCCAGTTCTCCCCACAACCCCATTAGGGAATAAGCGGTAATGATAATGGATGGATGGATAGAAGTAAACACCATTCATATATTATTCAAAGCATGTTATTATCTGCAAAGATATTGTCCCCTTTTTAGTAAAACATAAAAAGTCAAAATGAGACACTGAATACTTCCTTCTACTCGATGAGATGTTTCTAACAATGGAAAGAAAATCAACAGTGTTAGGATTCATGTTAATCTCTGCTCAATTTCCTTTAAGTTTAGCCTCTGTATTACTTGTTAAGAAATCCACTTATCTAATAATGTCTGGTCAAGTCCCGAATCATCATCTTTAACACGTTACTTTTTTTCCCTGGCAAGTCTTTAGTTTTCCCTCCTTTATTCCCTACTGATTTATATAGATTAGCTCTGTCTAATCCTTTTGTCAGTTTTTTTTATTGGATTTACGTGCAGAAAAATTCCTTGTCATGCTATCCTTTTCCATTAGGTCTTTAATCAGTTTCTTTATTCAATTTCCTTCTTCACCGATGGAGTTGCTTCTTTTGGTCGAGTAGATTTATCTTCCAGTTTAAACACCCAAATAGGTGCAACCCATTAAAGTACAAACATTTTTCACAGGTGCTACCCTTAAGAAAACATAAAGTCATCAATGTGCCTAAAATCATGGGGAAAATCTTTGAGACAGACATATCTGTACATTTGCTTTTCAATCCTTTCAAAACCTTCAGTCAAAACACTTCAAGACCACATGATCTTTGGGTAAAACTATCATTGTCGTCCGCCTATGTGGATATTTTGCACGAGATAGTCCTCTATTTAGATAGTCGCCTCCCGCTACACGTCCCATATTCTCTTCATGTCTCTCTCATCCCAGCTGGGTTTTGTCACCGTTTCTTCCAACAATGCATCTCAAACCGGTGAAAACTCAGAGGGGGACGCTTTTCCATGGGTTGCTTTTATGCAGATGCGATACAGTGTGCATTGCAGTTATGTAATGAATAACACCAGTATAATGTATTATCTGTACAAAGAGGACTTCACTTCCACTTCTCAACTGCTGTTTATGTCCATGAATAATCAAGCAGATATTGATATGCCATGTTATAGCACATTCAATGCAATGTTAGACAAAAGAAGTTGAGTTTCAATTATAAAAACTGACATTTTAGATTGTTCTATGTAAACTCCTGTCCATTCAAATCTCTCAAACTTGTAAAACCTGTACAGTAGAAATAATCCGTCCTGTCCCCCAATTCTTATTCTTTAAACTGTTTCACATTTCAAAAATTGACATTATTTCTTTTTTCATATGAATTAGTGCCTAGATTTGATGAATCCATTCCCATTACTCTGCATAACATCTGCCATGAAGCCTCTCCTCCATCCTTTTGTCTCCCCCTGACCTGGTGGACTCCTATCATAAGTATCAGGTTCCTGCTGTGCTTCTATTTTTCCCTTTTCATTCTGGACTCAAAATGAATAATCATATTAAGATATCTTCAGCGTCCCACCCATTCTGCTCATCTCTCTATCATTGGATTTTTTCTTATCTTTCCCATCCCACGGGCTCTAATGCCTTGATGTTAATTTGTCTCAATGGGATTCAAGTATTAGAAAAGATTTAACAGCAAGAAAATATCATTTTTTTGTCTCATATTTTACTCCAATGTTTGACATGGCATGCTGTTGTACATCATTTGTAATTGTGTAAACATAATTTTGTTTGTCATAATTCTGCTCTCATTGTCCAAGTAGATGTTTTTATCCCGATATCTTCTTTTTTATAAATTCTTCCAGCGTCATCTTGATCATTTCAATGAGAGAGCTGATGAGTGTCGACTGAGAATGCAGTGACAGAGAGATGACAGCTTCAGACAAGGACGGGGGGGATGAAGAACGGATGAGAGGTTAAGCGACATTATCAGAGTCCATGAAGAGCAGAGGAGAAGTGTGACTCCAAGAGATGAGAGCCAGATGAAAGCAGGAGAGGCGAAGGAGGGATAAGAGTTTGAGTGGTGCTGTGACAGAGAAAGGCACGATGAGCGGTGGAGAGAAGGTCGTGAGGTTTGTTGTTTGTGAAATGCATCCTCTCATCATATGTTTTAATGCCAGAACCCAGCCACTTACCGAACTGGTAGAGCTGAGGACATAAAAAGAACACTTAAGCTTTCTGGAGACCACTGTGTGCAGCAAATTAAGCTAAAACCCTTTAAAAAAAAACTTTTAAATACAGCCACATTGCACGAGTTAATCTATTTTAGCCAAACAGCAAACTGAGTGCAAATCATAAGATAGCAGGCAACTTTTTTTTGTTTTTTTTTGTGAAAAATGACACAGACAACAGAAGAGAAAGAGAGCAAAAGGGGAATTTTCCAGACAACCTCTCCACTGGATGTCAAAGGGTGGAGCAGGTGTTTTGGATGTTAAGCACTGAACTGTGCAGAAGTATAATAGCTTAAGTTTTACTCACAGGCTTTACCACTGGATTAGATTGACATCCAAAAAGGTTATCTCCAAATTGCAGACCTTTTTTTGTTTTCCTCTTAACCTTGTGAGAACGAGTTATGCAACGTACTGTGTCTGTGTAGGTTGATGGGCCATGTGTCATAAATCTAATTAAATTCACATATTTTTTAACATGATTGGTTCACAATTTTTGTCTATATTGTTTGAGTTAACTTAAATATGTATATATGCGTATCAGTTGAATAAGCAATAAGAACTAAAGATTTATAAAGAGTATGAACAAGAGTATGAAAAGAACTCAGAGGAAAAAATATGCAATAACAGGAAGGAGCAAATTCATCTTGATTGTTGGGGTTGACATATGAAAACAGTAGAACTCGCTTTTTTCTCTTATTTGCTCAGATGTTCTCTTCTAGGGACACGGCAAAAGTTTCTATCTCAGTTCGCCAAAAGAATAGTCATATGATTATTGCTTCCTCTGTTTTCTCTTCCCTGTAAATCAATCATACATTCATAATCTGTTTTTATGTGACTCATTAAATTTCAATTTACTGACTAAATATGTATCTATTGATTTGAAAATATATATGTGAGTTTCAACCACATACCATGCAAATATGTGCAAAGACGGTGAAAAAATAGCTTTAGATCTGCTTAAACAAAATATGAACAAAAGGTATTCTTTTGGTTGTTATATCTTCATACTCAGAGGTGAATAATTTGCAAAAATAGATTTTTATCAAAATTATACCCGAATATAGATATATAAGTTCTTACAAAACGTTTTTAAAAGACTTCTTTTTTTTACAAGGGCAAAGCACTCTTATGTCAGGCGCAAAAAGGCTTTTCTGTCATGGTAAAGAGGAGGAAAAGGTGGGAAGCGAGATGAGAGGCTCTTGACGGCCCATTCTTCTCTTGTCTTTGTTTGAAAAGCTGAACCTACAGAGAAGAAAATCTTCACCTCTTCAAGTCGTTCACGTCGTCTATCTGTGCATATATTCATATTTGTGAGTGTGCACACGTGATAAACAATGCATCAACGTGCTTTTGGATGGAAATCCATGGAGAAGAGAAGCCACTTTATTGCCTTTTTTTCAGATCCAGACAAAAACTGTTTATGTTGAGAAGAATTGCATGTGCCTTTCAAGTCAGATGTGTCAGTGGGAAACTTAAAAACAGAAAAAAAACACATGTAGATGCACATACATTCACATGTGCAACAACATTGACAGACACATGATACTGCAGCTCATTAATCAACGCAGTTAATCATTTAAACAAACAAATAACGTTAACATAGAGGCTTACAAACACAAATATTCAAAAGCTATTTTCCAGCTAAAGAAAGTTGACACATTTGCGAAGACACTCGTGTGCACGTACGCAGTAGGTTTTGACAGGATGGCGCCCACACAGCCAAAACACAGCCGTGCAGAGAGCAAGCTGCAAAGAGAGACTGAGGTCGAGGGAGAAATGTGAGCGAGAGAAAAGTGTAGACAAGGTGGACAAAGAACAAAATTGGGGGGAAAGATGGGAGGAAGTGACAAGGCTGACGATGAGGAGGGGAAGGAAAAGAATACAAAAGAGTGAAGGATAATAAAAGAGGAGAGAGATCTGTTAGATGAGTGATGTAATGATGAAAGAGGTTTCTTCTGAAATATGCAGCCACCATAAATCAAACACTATCCAATTATAGCACATCTCCAACACAACAAGCAAACAGCATCAATCCAATATATGAATAAAAAATGCACATATCCTTCTTTAGCGTGTGTAGCACACTCACTCAAATTCAACTTTCTGTCAACATGTACCAAAGTTCCCTCTGAAACAGCAACAGACATATTGAGTAAATATCACACACTCATATGGGTGGGGTGGGGGGGGTTAGTTTCTACAGTTTCACTTCGACACTGACCAATTCTGATCAGACGTAGCCCCACATCTTCGTCATTGGTGATAATCTAGCAACTGCCAATTTGATGTTTAAACATATAATATCAATATTGAACCTGGACCAAAAATACTTATTCGCCAATGGTCTCTATTTACTGAAGCTGACATTAAAACTTCTAAAAAAGATTAATGCCCTGGATGGAATTCAGCACAGCTCCAAGAAGTTATCGATGTCTTTGCTTGACCCAAGTTTTCTTATGAAGTAAAACAGAACTTTTCAACCCAGAAAGACCTGATGAGGCAGAAAGGGAACTGCACTTTTTTTAGTTTAGCATCTTAGACTTGAATTGCTTTATTTTGGGAGGCGATTTAAATCTCTTACACAAAAGCAATCAACAAGTCTTAGACGGCACGGGATGTTCCTTTTGACATACTTTTTAAAATGAAATTTGGTTCTAACTAGAAGCATCCTCGTTAGTCGATTGATTCAGTACTTCAAATTTCCACCAGAAAGTTCCCTTGCCAGTCTTTTTAGAATGAGTTTGAGCCCCGATGTTTCCCCAAATGAAACCATTGAGATAAATTTGCTCCATTTGCACTTCCCCCTTTGGAAACATTAGCTTTTCAAGTGCACCGCTGAAATGAGGTTTAAAGATGTTTGGGGGAATATTTTTTTCAAAAAACATCAGAATCGACTATCATCACAAGCAGTTATTTTACTCCCGCCACAGTCTTGCATTTCTATTCCTGCCTTAACCGTTCATTCTTTGCACATCCAAGAGACTAACTATAACTTTTAAGCATGTACTGTACACTAGTAAAATTGTAGAAAAACAAATATTCTTAAAATGACTGATTTTTAAGGTATCAAGTCTTGCACTGAAGTGTTCTCTTTCAAAAGACCCATGTTGCCATGGTTCAAATCTGGCTCGAAACCTTGCAGTCCTCTATCCTACCTCTTCTGCTTTCATGGACTCACACCACATGAGGTCCAGGCACTCCTCCCAGAGCTGATGTAATGTATGGCTTGGGAGAAGGCATACTGGGACAGAGAAGGTAAAGCACAGAGAGAGATCAAATGTGTGTTTGTAAAATTTGGGCTCGGCGTCTGTCTTTTTGTTGTTTCGTGTAAGGCACACCCTGAGGGGCTTAGTGAACAGGACACACTTTATTTTGCTCTTCACTCAAACTTTTTTCAATAAATCTGCTTTTAAGGTACATTTACTGACAGTGTGTCCTGGTTGCATGGTAACGGTCACTCAAATGTCTTAGGATTACATTTAACAAGTCACGTTAATGTATGTACCAAAAGGTTAAGTCGTTTTTTGAGTGGGTGTCCCAGTTGTAATCTTGTATATTTGTCCTCGGCGTGCCCTCTCTGTGCATTCAGGGCTGCTTTCTGGCATGAGGTTGCAGAAACTAGCTTTTAGTTTTAAAAAGAATTCCTTGTATCTTTCAGGGGACTGTTACAGAATACGCTCTGACAACTGAGAAGAGACATAATTACATCTCTAAGTACAGTCTCTGAGGGGATGAACCTTGGTATAGCAGGGGTTGAGTAGGAATGTGGCAAAAAGTGGAATTTTCAAGCGGGTGGTGATGTAAACCCTGACTTTCTACACAGACTAATGGGGGAAAAGTATATATTTTATCACGAAAGAGGCAGATTTTTCTTGATATTAAATATCTGTGTTTAGAACGATCTTTCGTAGAAATCAGAGACGGTTGCTTTTTTTTTGGGCAGTTTCCTGTTCAGCAAATTCTCTCAGTCTCCCTGCTCTTTTGAGTCTTTCTGACTTATCTGATGTTGCTCTGCTGCGCCGGCTGAGACATCTATCCAAACAGACAGACTGACAAACCCAAACACACAGGCTCACACAGACAAGGAGCAACACGGCCCGAGAAAAACCAAGTAACTGTAAGTGCACATGGATATGTGCCGCGCACTTGATGGATTTTAAGTTTATGTGAAAAGCACTGCAAAAGCAAGGACAAAGTCACACAGAACCGCCCATTTCATTAACCCACGCTGCACATAAGTGTGCAGACGGAATTTTATATCTTACCATTAGTTGGGAATCAGGAAAGCTGCTTCTCCTCATGTAAGGAGGTTAACTAGAGGATGATGAAGAATAAAAATGTAGTGCAAGATGGGATTTAATGTGCAATCCTTTCTACAACGGGAAAGAGTTTAGCACCTTCTATCATGTTCCCTGTGTCATTCATTAAGGCAATTTGGTAAAGATCAAGAGTTTCAACTCTTGACATCAAGCTATCATCTTAGGAAACAACATAGGGAGCTACATGAAAAAAAACAAAATGGGAAAGAGTCCCAATCCTACATGAAAGAGGCTTTATTGTCAAACTAAAGTGTAGGTTGCTGCAGACTAACATAAAAGCTACCGTCATACAGTAAGAATTCTGCAGTGCAACATTATTACAAAAAGACAAAAACAACACTAGCACCACACGGATAAATTCTCACTACAACAAATGACAAATTGAACATGAAATTTCTGGGTGGGAAAAGAAGTGGCTGTTTGTGCTGCGTGAAGCAGAGCAGTCCCTCGCTGTTAATTTTGTGTGCCGCGGAATCGAGAGCGTTTAACGAGCTGGGGTTGCCAAACCGCAGCCTGTAGGTGGTTTTCTGGCTTAGAAGCAAATTGTAAATCAGTGAAAATAAAAGTGGATCACTGAACCTCCACAGACCAACGGTTTGAATGCGCAGACACCGCTCGGTGGGTGTAGGGATCCAGATGTTTCATGTTCTAAATGCTCACCTTTATCACTGGACCAATTTAGAGCTATGGAATTTGAACTGATCTGATCTGACAATCAGACCTCTCTAAATGTGCAGGTTTACAAAGAAATATGGTTCTGACTTAAAGAATATGAATAAATAATAAAGAAATATGTTTTACAGTTTCGGTAAAAAGGTCCCAGCAGGGCACCATCCAAACAACAAGTGGTCACACAAGCCCAACGGATAGAGAGTGTAATAATAAGCTCTATTAAACAATCATGCATGAGTGGGAATGTAAGCTTTTTACACCAACAACACATCATCAGATATTTCCCTCTCTCCCTGTCAGAGCCTCCTTTGGGATAACTAACAGCTAAAACTAAGAAGCTGAGGTGAAGCTGGGGTAACTTGAGGTAGACGACGGATGGCGTACCTTATCTCGTATCTGAAGAAAGCTAGAACGCGTAGTCCTTCCAAAGCCTCATGCTGCAATGAGACAGGCCTGACTCCGAGCTTTTTAGGCTGGAAACTTTGAGATCGTCTCCAGAAAAGTAAAACGGCAACTTTTCCCCCAGTAATGTGCGATGTGACAAATCTGAACAGTTACTGATCAGATTTGCCACATTGCACAAAAGCAAGAATTTATTTCAGCCACCTTGAAATGAGCTTTTTATATTTAAAATGTGTTACTACAAAAGGCGTAGGAGGAAGAAAGAATGGGTCTGAATAGATCTTATTAAAACTGAAGATATGAGATGAAATGTACAGAAAAAATAAAAGGGAAACAAAGCTAAGATAACTCATCTGTTTCAAATTCATGTTACAGGCTACTTTTTGAAATCTTCTCTTGTTTGTCTTCTTATTTAACATGACCCAGACAGGCTTGTGTTATGTCCTTAGTAATTCTGTGAACATGTGTGAAGGCAAGATCTTATAAAGGATGTAGTTATCAGATGTTCTTCTGAAAATGTATTTGATTCAAATTAATTAAATGCAGAGATGCTTGACTAATAATGAGAAATAAACCTGTGTTTTCATGATTATCATGTAAAGTACACTGAAATTAAGATTACATTTAAATTACATTGGTTCTTGACTGTTTGATAAACATGTTTAGCAGCTTATCATATCACATTAGGGATGATGACCACTTTTTTTTCTTAAACGTACTCCCCCTATACTATAATTAGTAAATCAGTATCTCTCTGTCTGACTCACAGCACAGGCATGAAAAAAAGAAAGGAAAAACACCCTAGAGAACAATCAAAATTTGCAACCAGCAAATCAACACATTAAGGGTCACATTAAAATTAATTTTAGCAATTGACTCTCTCTCTTTCTCCACACGACCAAGTGGGTGGAGACCCTTAGTAAATATTTTACCCGAGGCCACCGCATGAGCCATTTAACAGTAAAGTTGACCTGGGGGTGCAATGTTTTTCTTCAAATCCTTTCTGCGCTCTCTCTGAGAACACAGAATACAGAAAAGAACAACAAGGTCGCCTAGAAGTGCAAAAATAAAACTGTGAGAAAAGCAAACTTGTTTCCTCACCTTCAGAGGGCATTGTCAAAGGCAAGGCCATGACACTGTGTGGGAGCATTTCCATGAACTGGATGAATAAAAGGAATCTTTTGGAAATGTGTGCCTTTAATGACACTGCAAAATTGTATGTGCATGTGATAATATTTAAAACACTGTTAGACATATACACGCACACACTCATACAGTGGGGGAAATAAGTATTTGACCCCTTGCTGATTTTGCCGGTTTGCCCACTTATAAAGAATGCAACGATCTATAACTTTAATCATATGTACATTCTAACAGTGAAAGACAGAATCCCAAAGAAAATTCCAGAAAATCACATCATATGAATTTATAAAAATTGATAACCATCTGATGAGGAAAAATAAGCATTCTTTGTAAGTGGGCAAACCTGCAAAATCAGCAAGGGGTCAAATACTTATTTTCCCCACTGTATATATACATGCATATATAAACACATGCATATATAAACACGTGCATTTTTGATACATTCATATGTATATGTGTACAAGTCATTGTGGCAAAAGAAAGAATGGGATTTAATATTCCAAGTATATTCCAATAGAGTGACATTTTCCAAGATTCTTTTTTAGTGTATGCGGCTGCTCTAACTTCCCAAGGGCCAGGGGTACCAGATGCACTGCGCTTCGTCAGGGCTAAAATATAATTGTTCATACGTGCATGCAGACACTCGTGCACATACCTACATGAGCACTGAAACACAGGACATATTCACAACATGGCTCATTGATTAGCCTTTCCCATCTCTTTTTCCACTATTCTTGCTGTTTTCTTTCCAGAGGCCACCTTCTGTCTATACGTCTTGTGTTTTGCGTGGAGATAAGTGGCTTTGTGTTTGCATTCACATCTTTGAACCTCTCAGGACTCAAGTTCCATTTTTAAATGCAGTGAATGAGACGGGTTGAACCACAATCTCTTCTTCTGGTCTCCCTGAGTTTATCAGTGAGTGTTCTCTACAGCTTTTTGTACTCACTGCTCATATTTTGGAACATCTACTTCACTCTTCTGTTTAAACAAAGAAGGGTTATGGCTAATGGCTTTTGGTGTAAAGACTTTATGTGTTTTTATGACAAACCGGTTTGAAAAATCTGAAAAACTTGTCAGAAAAAGCTGTTGTGCTTATACTGTTATGCTTGACGTATTGGTGCCTGCACAATCACGTCATCATAACTCTTTACGATCTTTACGATCTCCTCCGAGAATATTCAATCTATTTCCAGGTCATTAGAATCAGAACTCGCTTTATTGACCAAACATGCAGAGTGCGAAAGAGTTTAACCTGGTATCACACACCACAGGACAATTATAATCTTCGTGTTTATTTGTATAAATCTACATGTGGAAAAATTCACAAAGCGACGCATGGAAGCAGGTTTTGTGAGAGGAAAATAAGTTATTGAGAGCTTAAACATCATCTTGGTTCTATGAGGACACTTCACACAAATATCTTGGAGCTTTATTTTTATAATTGTGGATAACTGTACAACTCATCCATCAAGATAGTAATAAATGCCAGTTTAGCATATGACCTACAACTAAATATTATATCTACCAAACTAGCATTTCATCATAAGCCAGTCTGATAGGCTTCCAATGAGGACGGCAGTGATGAATAAAGTTGGAAAGCTGAAATATCTTTTCCCACTTAAAGATAGCCAGACTACCAAATATGAGTGGCTAATAATGTGTATTAGCCTTAGAAGCAGAGAAAGAGCAGCAGAATGGTACTTTTTTTATATAAGAGAAAGGAAAGGAAGAAGAAAAAAATCGTTGAAAAGAAAAGAAAACAAAGAAGAAAGAAGGAGGCCAAAAGCAAACCTTTGTTAAAACAACAGGAAGCCCAGCAGGTAAAAACTGTCTCCAGTGCCATTTTAATCACTTGTTAACACCCAACCCCATCCACCTCCACCCGCCAAACACACGCAAGTAAGCATGTTGAAGCCTTGATGGACTATGAAACAAGGCAATTTGATCCAGTGAGTAGAAAATAGAGAACAATTACACTGAGATGGAAAAAAACTAAATAATATACAAGAGGAAAAAGAAGGCTATCAGTCTCCCACAAGCAGCTGTAGACAAGACCATGTTTTTGGGGAGCAAATGGAATATTCTCCCTAAAAAAAAGTAGTTTAGAGATTTGATACCTCGCATTCATTTAGATATTTGAGCATTCAACTGTGAAAGATGTTTTCTTTGGTGAGTTTAGAACCCACATCTCATATCTAGGGACCGCATGTTTGTTTGTGTTCGTGAGTGCATTCTTGAGATATTCAGTCTTTTCAAACAGAAAAAAAATGTATCATAAATTATTTTTTCCCCTTCCAAAAGGTTTGCTTTTATCTCCACATGACAGCAGAATTGGCTGAAGACTCACAGAATCATCGGTAAACTTCCAAATCCCCAAGTCTGTCGCCATTATTTGTCTAGACTTTAATGCTTCTTCAGTAGTCTCTAGGATCCGTTAAAACTATGCAGAGGAATAACATAAGCAGGGAATGTTTTTCTTTCTTTGTGCTGCCTGCTTAGAAAAAAAAACTTTAGGTTGTGATTTCTTGACTTGAGGGCCGCATTTTGCTCAAATGGTCCAGGGATTCATTTTGCAGCTGGCTTATGTAAAAGCATTCCTTTTTCATGCAGAATTACACAAGTCTCAATTTAAATGGAAAAATCCAACCAAAAAACACACACATGTATATATATATATATATATATATATATATATATATATATATATATATATATATATATATATAGAGAGAGAGAGAGAGAGAGAGAGAGAGGTGTTTTTTAAGCACAATAAGACGATGCATTAGAAAAAAACTGAAACAGAAAGTGAGGGGATAAAAATCCAAATGACAACAAAAGAATCTCGTAAGCACACAGAAAGCCCCGATACTTCAATGTCCCTCCCAGTATTGCATATGTAGCACATGACAGGTTGGATTCTTTTGAGTGGCTGTGTGAGTCAGAAGTGACAGCTCAGGGAGCATGTTAAGTCAGAAACCAGTAGCCTGTCAGACACTGTCTCTGTGTGACTATAACAATGTGACCGGGCATGAGAATAGGCTCCATGTCTCATAGTATGCAAAATGTTTCTGTCGGTTTCAGCATGAGCGGGCGTATTCTACACTGTGTGTGTGTGTGTGTGTGTGTGTATGTGTGTGAGTAAATCTGTCTCCTGGTTCTCCCCACAGGCTGTGGAGAGGATGAAAAAGATTTAATACTTCTGCCAAGGTGATGCCCTACAGTGCTGCCTGTCTTGCACACACACACACACACACACACACACACACACTCTCACTCGAGGGGTTTAGTTAACCTCCTCTAGTGTCAGTGTACAACAGTCCACTGGCATGTCTGGCAGTTCTCTAAGAAACCAACAAATGGCACAGATGTACGTTCAGGTGCACGTGTGTGGTATATACAAAGTGACAAAGCGCATTTCCATTGCTGGATCCCCCCCCCCCCAACGCCTGACACATTCCACCTCACACTCCTCATGGATGAAAAAGAAAAAAACATTTTGACAGATATTTTTAGTTGGCGTGGTCAGCAGACATTTTTTTCCCCCGCTCAACCTTAGGGCATTCCTTCTGCAACTGACATCGACCTCTCTTTTTTTTCCACATTTTCACCACACTTCTTCCTCTTTACTCTCTGTTATCATATCCCCCTCTCTGACCTACCCTTCTGTGGGTTTTTTTTGTGTGTTTTGGATACTCATTCCTTGTTCTACTACACATTTTATTCATTTATCCTAAACCAAAAAGCCGACTGAGAGAGATGAATAGTTTCATAGGTAAATTCTACCCAATCATCTGCACACAAGCTGAAGGGATTAAGGAACCTCCTGCAGTAAGAACACATAGCCAACCAGCTGTGAGGTTCGGTATCGTACCTCTCTCTGGCATTGTCGCAGTGGCTGCAGCTTTGGCGATTCTTACATGTTTGCAGCCAAAAATGAAAAAAAAAACAGGAGAACTTCCTCCACATTACAGAATTTTGAATCACTGTCATGTAGATAACTGAATAGGACCGATGTTTTGACAAAAAATGAAAGCATGCCATCAAAATGATCTGACAAGAAAGAACGATGTCCTAGTCCACCTGCATAATACATGGATTCTATCTATCGACAGACATATAATGTACAACTCTGCACTGGGTCAGGGAGAATGATAATTAGATCCATATTTGAATTCATATGAAATAATGTTTAAACATGAGCACAATGCAAACTTTATATTTAGGCTATATATGTATACATATGTATATGTAATATATATATAATATAATATATAATATACATACACACACACACAATTCGCAAAATGTATTGTTTTGTTTGCATTCATACTATCTATCTATCTATCTATCTATCTATCTATCTATCTATCTATCTA